TTTTTTTTTTTTTTTTTTTTTTTTTTTTCTTTTAATTATTGCACATCGAATAAACGATGGTCATTACACGTTCAATGCATCGTATATAAAAGTGAAATCGGATCAGATACTGGTTCCCTCTCTCTTTTACATAATTTGAGAATTATTTTTGGCAACTGCAGCTGCGGTCACCGAATTCGCGGCGGGTGTACGGTTGTGAAAGATAACTTTCCATTCCGCCACGAAAGCCTTAAGTACCCCTTCGTTAGAATTGTTCTTCTTGAAATTGTGCACCGAATAACGATTATAAAGTCCCCAGATGCTGTTCATTAATTTGCTGTTGTATTTTAACGGCGTAAGTTCCCAACCTGAGAAAAAAGAAAATGAATTATTCACGTGTCCAATCCACGAAATTTTTACTTGCCAAATTTCATAATTTTACATAACTATTATTATTTCCATGTAATTTTGATTTTATCATCGAGTTGTGATTCGAGTGAAATTCGAAGTATTTCGTTTTATATTCGTTTTAAATTATTTAACGTGGCAAACAAAGTTAAAAACTTATCGAATACCTTATACAGATAAATATTAAAAATAGCTGTTTCTTTTTTTTCTTTTTTTCGTAATTCAAAAATCTAAACAGTTTCTTAAGAAAAATAAAGTAAACGTAACAAAAAAGTATTTAGCGAATGGATACTAGAAAGTCGAATATACACGATATTTCTTACACGTTATTATTTGTTTTAAAGCCAGTATATAATACGATCTAAAAATACTCGCGAAGCGGCATTCCAGTATATTCTAAAAACAGAGTACGTCATCGATAAGTGCGATAAGTACCTTCCAATGGGGGTCTCATGTTGAATGTATTCTCTTTACACGATTTTTCTTTCTTCTCCATCCGTGATATCGTAGCATTGCGTTCTCGATTGCGACGGACTTTGCACGCCGCAAACACGCCCTGCGGAATAGATGCCATCCTCTCGCAATCTGCAATCAGAAAAAACGAAAAGGCAGTCTCAACGTTTCAATTTTCAAATCGAAATGTGTTTGTTAGAAAAAAATAATGAAATGTCGATTGCTTCTAAGGAATAATTTACATGGCGTAAGATCTAAAGATAATATTAATATTATAAAAAAAAACAAACCTTCGCAAGTTTCAAAGAGCAGTTTTGCCAATTTTCTTTTAACGCTTGTTATCACCGTCGCTCTTTCCTCGCAAATCCTAATTTTCGGATGCTGATTTTTCCACCACGATTTTCGATTTTGTTTCAATGTTGCAAACTTCATACAGCCGCGACTAACACTCTTCAAATCAATCATCGACCGATCGATAAAAATGAAAAAGGATATTTTGTAAAAAAATACGAAAGTGCTTCTCCCTTTTTTTTTTCTTATTATCGTATTGCAGACGAGCCAAAAAAATAAAAATTGCGGAAAGGAGAAACCTCGACTCTTCTCGTAGGGATACGAACGTCGTAATAACTTGGAGTAATAATTTCGTTTCGATTTATGAACTTGTTTTGCGAACAAGTGGGGAGAGATAGATTGGACGAGAAACAAAATAGGAAAAGAAAAGTTATGTCTTTGTAATGAGATATCGGCTGCCTTTCGAGATTTTTAATGATCTCGACCACCACGATTCTTTTATCTCTGAAGACTTCTCGGATTTAAAATGAGTAAGTACTCCAATCGCGCGATACGTGACCTATATACATATATATATATATGTATATATATGTATATTGTATGTATATTGTATGTGTATATATGAAATAACGTAATTGCTATTGTATGTTTATGATCTTGCATATTATAATATTGAATTTACTTTCATTTTATTTTTCGAACAATGCAAAGAAAAATATTATTTTCATCTAACAGGATGATAGTTGTTTTTATTTAATAGAAAGAAGAAAAAATTGTATAAAAATCATATTAGACATATAAATATTTTATTCGATATAAATTTATGAAAATCATGAAACAATTTTCTATATTTAATTATATGCGAAAATTATGATAATTTGACTATATAAAAGTATAATAAAGATCATGATTTATAGCATTTCAATAATATATATATACACATATTTTGAAAAATTTATATTACATATTCCATACCGATATACATATATTAATATTTCTCATAATCATGCCTCCAAACAGGTTTTCTTTTCTCGATAAAACTTTTGATTCCTTCTTGAGCGTCTTTCATTTTTAAATTATTAATCATATTTTCGGTTCCTAGAAAATATGCGGTCGACGTATCAAGATCCAATTGTTTGTATAAAAACGTTTTTCCAACATGTACAATCGATCGACTCTTCATATTTATAGCTGTAGTAATTTTTTCAATTTCTTCTTCTAAAAATGAAATAGAATAAAATTTTTACATGTATCTATAATATTGTTGTAATTATTCAATTACTCCAATGAATTTACCAATTTTATCATGGGGCACAACTTTGCTTACAAGACCTGTTTCATACGCTTCTTTACCATTGATGCTAAAACCTGTGAAGAGCATGTACATTGCTACTTTTTTGGACACGTTCCGAATCAAGGGAATACCTGGCGTAGAACAAAATATTCCAAGATTGGCTCTAAAAATTAATAATAAATAAATATTATTTAAATTATATTAAATGAATCAATAGTATATTGTAATATGAATATATATATTCATATTAAAGAAGAAAAAGATAAATATACCCTGGTGTAGAAAATGAACTTCTTTCTGTACAAATAGCAATGTCACATGATGTAACTAATTGACAACCAGCTGCAGTTGCAACACCGTCTACAGCAGCAATTATTGGAACAGGACTTTGAGTAATTGCTTGCATCAATTTTGAACACGTTTCAAAGATTTCCTTGTGAAGCTTCTCATTGTTATTAGTCTAAACGATGCAAGGTAATCATTTCTCTGTGTGACGAACGTACATTTTTATATCAAAAGACCCCCATTACTTTTATTTTTTGGTCCATCTACAAACCAGTTCTTTTATATTATGTCCAGCAGAAAATATTTTTTCCAATCCAGATTTAATAACTATCGTCCGAAGATTGTTATTATTTTCATCGTGTACGATGTTCTTCCATAAAGATTTTAACATTTTTAAAGATAAAGAATTACGAGAAGGAGGATGATTCAATATTAATGTCCGCACCTATATTAATTATAAAAATAATTATAAAATGATTTAGTAGGATTATATATATATATATATAATTTTATAAAAAAATATTTTATTCCTAATTGTAAGTTTAATATAATGGATAAGAAATAGAAAATTTATTGGTACTAGCTTTGTATATATAATATATCTTCTTACTCCATTTTCTTCTTTGACATCTACATATTTTTCTTCTGACAATGATATTCTACTTGTACAAAATGTTCTTGGAACATATTTTTTCACCTAAAAATATCGATATATCGTTCACATAGAATCGAAGAAATTATTACTTTGAAATTATTATTTCGTATTTCCCGCCATACCATTTGTGAAACTTTGTAAATCTTTAAGAATATAATATTACTTATATTTTTTTTCTATATGCATACGTGTATATATATTGAAATATAGAATTTATCAAATTAAATTTTTAATTAATAAAATAAGATATTTAAAAATATTATTCATTAAAAATATAATAGCAAATTGTATAACCTCCATTTTACATATAATACATTTATACGTATAATTTATTATAAAAATTTACCTGAGAATAAATAAAAATATTTCTCTCCATTACTCGTAACATTTTGTAATAATTTTTTTATATTAATTTTTTTTAAGTAATAATATTAATTTTTCGTTACTTTTAAATCTTTCACAGCACAATTAATATCGATAATTGATATTAGTAATAGTAAAATACAGACACTTACAAACCAGAATGTCACAAATAAAACACAAATATAGATAATGAAAGAAAATAGTAGGAAAATGACAAAGATAGAATAAAAATCCGGGAATTAACGCCATCTTCAGAATATCACAAATAAAACATAAAAAAGGACAGAAAATAGTGGAAGAAGGATAGAAATAAGGTAAGAATTAGCCATTATCGCCATCTCTTTAATGTTAAAAAAAATCTCATTAATTATCTTTCTAAAAATATTTAAGAGATGGCACTGATCTTTAATTCTTATTCTATTTTACTCTATTTCTGAAGAAATATCTTTGACATTCAAGAGATGGCACTGAGAGTTAATTATTACACTATCTTTCTCTTTGTCCTATTATTCGCTTTCCTTATTTATATTTGTGTTTCATTATTTATACTTACAGCACTCAAGAGATGGCGCAAATTTCGTAATTTTTATTTCCAGCTTTTTCCCACTATTTGTTTTTCTTATACAAATTCATATGCTCTGAAGATAGTGCCAATTTCTTACTTAACTTTATAGTATCGTTGTCCAACTTATTCATTATAAATCTTAATATAAGAATCCATATATATAAATTTTTATATTTCTGTAATTTTTTTCTAAGTTTTGTATTAAATTTTATTTTAATAGAAAAATCTGAATTTTTTAAATTCTAATTTTTTAATTATTTCAAATTCAATATTTAATTTTTTAAATATTTAGATATTTAGATTATTTTAAATATTTAGATTATTTTTATCTAAATATTTCATTCGTTTTTTTTTTCGAATCATTATCTCAGAAAAATCGTCTTCAATGTCCATACTATGAATATAATCAGAATTAAAATTATAAAAATTCCAAAAGCAGAATACAACATTTGAGTTTTATCGATGTTAAATATCGCCGTAAATAAGATATATAAATTCAACATTTGAACAAATTAATTCAATGAAATAACAAATATATATGAAAAAGCTTTGAAAAATAAATTAAACGAATAGAATTTCATTCTAATTATTTTACAAGTTCTATAATAGATATATTTATATAATAAATAGATCGATAATCATATAAAGCAGAGGGCAATGTCACATAATTTGATCAAACCTCCGAACTCTCCAACAGTAGGATAACCTGTCATCGGTTACCATAGTGATCATTGTTTCCCCTAACAACTAACATGGCGGAGGTTGAGGGTAAGTTTGCATATGTCAAACAGTCTCTGTTAGTATTTATAAAACTACGGTGGTTCGTCTAACACAAATAACGCGTCGAGAGATCCTAGTGATTGCCGCGTAAATTTTTCTCGTGCTATACTTCCGTCCAGTTCCAGTTTCACGGGAACCGGGGCCGTTTTCTAATAATAATATACGAGAACCACGCGGACGTGAAGGTGTTCAGACACATAAACGGAAAACGAGAGAAGAGTTAGCGATGGATCCGAATTAATATTTCTGATCTCCGATCGCATAGATCGGTTTTTTCACATGAAAAATTAAATAAGTGACAAGAGGTAAGATGATATTTTTAATTGTGCGGAAACTCGAATCGATATTTGGTGAATCGATAATCGATATGTGGTCTCGCTACAAGTACGATCGAACGTAATATATAATGGAGTATTTATGAGATGAAAAATAATATAAAATATTTTATTTACCCATACATTTTTCGATTTATTTTGTTCAAATTGTATAATATTTGTTTAATGGATTGAATTTTATTTGATAATTTATTTATTTATTTAAATTTTTCAAGATAATTTTATTGACTGTTCCGTCGAAAATTAATTTTACCGCTTTTATGTACCGAGTATACTCGGTTGATAATGTAAAATGCTTTACGATCATATTTATTATTATGAAAGTAATTTTTGTTTGTTACATAACTACTACTACTACTAAAGGTAATAATCATAATCATTTCTATTTACAATCAGATATAAAATTACTAATGATTTATGTAATATATTATTATTTAATTATTATTAAATTGAATTTGACGTATTCTTTACAGTATTGATCAAATATCTGTGACGAAACGTACACACGACATCGACACATTAAATCATTATACTTATTCATGATCTATATCGTGGTTTACTGGTAATTATAATCTTTATCGGGAACGAAACTCATAAAATAATAGTAAAAACACGAGCACGAGTCGATATTTTTTTTACAAGTAAACTTCTACTAGGTAGCAATTTTTCTTTTCGTTTAATAAAGACTATCGAACTATTTTTATCAACTATATACCGAATAGTATATTATTCAATTGATTATATTCAAAATCTTTCAAATTATAGAAAAGATGTAATTCTTTTCTTTTCTTTTTTTTTTAATAAAATTTGAACATCTCTATAGTCAATTCTTATTTGAATTTTTTTAATTACTCTTAAACAAAGATAAAATATATTTGCTTTACTTATTGAAACCTTTTTGCGTAACTGTGAGGAGAGAAAAGGATCGCAAAATATTCGACTGTTATATAAAAGTGTTGGGAAAAGGTTGGGAAACACTGGTCAAGAAATTAGATTGAAGTACTTAGTTCCCTTCATCGCGCGAGAGTTTCAATCCCATCGCTATTAAAAGGAAGGAGCGAGCGCTCCTGATGCTCTCGTAGTGACACCTAAAATAAACCTCATTTAACAAGAGAAGAGAACGAGATCGTGCGTAGACGTTGCGTACAAGAACAGCCTCGTGGCGATGGAGAGGCTCAGTCGATGTGTCTCCATGCTCTTCGATGTTGTGCTGCGTTTCGAGAAGAGGTATCGCAGGGGCGGATCTAGGATCCCCCTACGATCACTGCTCGTCGAAAGAGCGACCTGTCGACTTGGAAAAAGTAGTAGAATCCGGACAATTTCGTGAACCAGGTGAGATTCGTGCGTGGAAAACTGGAAAAATACATACTTTCCGCTTTCTTGCGATCGTTTTTTTTCGTCTCGCTCGCATTTCTCATCCGTTTCTTCCCTGGTTAACAATACCTGGTGTAAATATTCAATTCTTTCATATTTACTTAATATTTCCTTTCTCGTAGAGAAAGTTAGATACAACAAGATTTTCAAGAACGTTTTTTAAGCTCATCTCGACGGTTTGATGACTATAGAAATTTCAATACTGGTAATATCGTGAAAAATAACGCACAAATGAATCGAATTCTAAAATTATCGTAGTATTCACAATTTTTAAAATTTGATCAAACACAAGAATCGGTATTAATCGGAACGTAATACTTTTTTCACGCTCGATCGATTTCTTCCTTTTCTTCTTCTAACTCTCCTTGACTTGTGTTTACGTACCAGAAAAACAATCCGCTCCTGGAAATTATGCACTCTTATAAATAATGCAGAATTCATTAGAGATTCTCAAGAAATTGTCGTTATCTTTTTTGCTTTACTGCGTAACACATTTTCTCGAAGAATATTCCGCATGATAAATGTACGAATAATACGTTATCCCGTGTCTCGTATCATAACTCTTCTATCCAAATCCAAAAAAATCTTAGATCCAAAATCTCGTCCTTTTTTCTTCGATCCTTCGAATTCTTTAGCTCCTGAACGAAATTGTCCTTCGAAATTGTTCTTCGAGTCGAGGAAATTCAAAGCCTTATATATCCACAGTTACGTTACACCCCCTCAAACTCACCTTGGAAACTCGCGCTATCGCGAGGCGAGAGTATAAGAAAAAAGCGCGTTGGACGCCGCATAAGGAGTGCAAAAGGCATCCGTCGTTGGCGATAAATAAACACCGGCGTCGGCACACGGATTACGAATCCGGGCGTGAAGGTGACATTTCGAGAAAAAAGAAGGCAAGAGCGTAACGCGTGAGCAACGTTGAGTGGTCGTGGTTGGCGAGTGGTCGGGAAAGCGAGGGAACGGAAGGGAAGGACGGCTCGTGAGAGTAGGAACAACAATATCGGGCGCACGGTGTTCAAAACACGAGCGTGTATAGCTCGTTAACGTTTACGTTGTCGTTGCGCCAAAGAAGGAAGGTTGCTCGGGCCGTGGGCGGGCAATTCTCGCGGGGGCGACACCTCGTCCTCATCCACCACCTCCTCCTCCTCCTCATCTTCATCGCGGTAGACGCGTCGCCGTGTTAAACGGAATCGTGCAGGTGGCCGCAAAACAAACCGACCGATCGCTTATCGATTACGAAAATATATTCGCTCGATCCCGATCTCCTCGCGCTTCCATTCCTTGTCCCGCGCGACACCGCGATAGGCACGAGAGAAATTAGCTACCGTAGCCGCGATAGCACAAGTTCTCGGTCTCAAAATCGAAATAATGACATGTTGTTGTTGGTCGCGTCTCGAGAGAAGAATAAATATAGAATTTCGAGGAGTTTGGCGAGTCGATTTTTGATTTTTTCGCGATACGAAACGAAAAGATGCCAAATTAACAATCGTTCAACAAAGAATAATCTCTCGACGCGTTGAAACGCGCTTTTCTTCTTTCGTTCTTCGCAGTCTGAGTCAGAAATATTGTACGTGGATGGAAGGAGGGATTGTTCTCTCATACGCATCGATGATATCGGTTCACCGATGTCGAGTGCCGCGTTTCGTTCGTTCTGACTCACTCTGCTCCGTATACGGGCGCATTTCGTGTGGATGTCGAACAGGGGGATCGCAGCAGCCGACTAATTCTTGGTAAATGGACACAGATGTGCCGCCCATCCTTCTCCCGTGCGCGATATGCGCACGGACATTTATGCCTCAGTCGTTGGAGAAGCACGCGAGGATCTGCGAGCGGTCGGCGAACAAGAAGAGAAAACCGTTCGACTCGGCCAAGCAGAGGATCCAGGGCACCGAGCTGGCCGAATTTTTGCCCAGGCAAGAGAAGAAGCGACGATCGCCTGAAGAGAGATCCTCCTCCAAGTCTTGGAAGCAGACGCACGATGATTTTCTACGGGCTATCCGCGCGGCTCGCAACGAATCGTAAGTGTTTTTTCTTTTTTCTTTTTTCTTAATTAATCCCCGAATTGTGGTGAAGAACGGAGAAGAATGGAAAAAAAACTTTATCGGTAACTCAATCGTTCTGTGTTGTGAGTAGTAGTGGAAAAAATGTGATGGCGAATATGTAAACGGGATAATTGGGAAACGAGAGATTGGATTGCAGGTATTGGATCGAGATGAAAAAAAGGTGAATAGAGAGAGGCAGCACGAGGTGAGAATTACAGGCAGAGCGCAGATTAACCCAGATGCATCGCGAATGATGCAAGTGCATTCGTGCGTGCGATGACTTCTCTTTGCAACACCATTTTCTTAACAACGCTTGCTTCGTTCGAATTCTCTTTATCGCGTGTCATACGCCATTATCTCTCTCTCTCTCTCTCTCTCTCTCTGATAAGAACTTATATATAAACAACTTTCACCGATTTTTTAATTTCTTTTCCTCTTGTATCTTTTAGATGGACTTATATTAACAATCTCGACCACAATTTCAATTCCTTCTATCCCGTTTTTAATTTTTTCCTTTTGTATCTTTTAAATGGAGTTACACAAGCAACCGATTCACGATTTCAATTTCTTCAATATCAACGTTTTTTATTTTCTTTTCCTTTTTATATAAGTAATCTCGACTATTATTTCAATTCCTTCATCATCAACATTTTTTAATTTCTTTTCTTCTTGTACCTTTTAGGTGGACTTGTATGAGCAACTTCCACCGATTCATTCCTTCAACATCAACGTTCTTTAATTTCTTTTTTCTGTATCTTTTAGTTGGATTTATATGAGTAATCTCCACAATTATTTCAATTTCTTCAACATCCTGTTTTTTAATTCTTTTCCTTTTAGGTGGACTTGTATGAGCAACTTCCATCGATTCACGATTTCAATTCCTTCAGCATCAACATTTTTTAATTTCTTTTTTCTGTATCTTTTAGTTGGATTTATATGAGTAATCTCGACAATTTCAACTCCTTCAACATCAACGTTTTTTAATTTCTTTTTTCTGTATCTTTTAGTTGGATTTATATGAGTAATCTCGACAATTTCAACTCCTTCAACATCAACATTTTTTAATTTCTTTTCTTCTTGTACCTTTTAGGTGGACTTGTATGAGCAACTTCCACCGATTCATTCCTTCAGCATCAACGTTCTTTAATTCTTTTGCTCTCTTTTAGGTGGACTCGACCATGCAGAAGCAGTGCAGCACGACGATCACATCGAGCGCGCCAACGCGGGCCAACGAGCAGGGGATGTGCCCCACGTGCAATCGCCACTTCGGCGTCAAGGCGTACGACAGGCACGTGGCTTGGTGCAAGGAGAGGATCGCCCGGGTTCCGATCAGCCCAGCGACGAACATCGCCAAGGAACGGCTGGAAGCGCGGATGAAGTATCGGGCCCCGGCCGTGAAGAGTCGTCGGCAAGCGACCCGCGAGAAATACTCGCCGGGCTCGGCGATCACTCTCAGCGCTGGGAGCAAGATGTCCCCGAGCTTGGTCCCGAACAAAGCCAAGGAGAGCGCGTCCGCACCGTCTTGCAACAACAAGAGCAACAACGACACCCCCGTTAAACAGAAAACCATCCTCGTGTAAGTCGCGCGTGGACAAAAATTGTGGAAGAAATTATTAAACCCTTTGCGTTTCATTCTTTTTTTTTTTTTTAAATATCGCTTAAATAGATTCCTCTTACAAAGAATAATACAGCATCGAGTGGTTAGATTCTTTTATCCGAAATTAGATCGTTCGATTTGAAATTGCTTCGATGAGCTTGATCTATCGGAATAACGAAATTATTTCTATTCGTTAAGAATTAAAATAAGAATTAAAATAACGTAAGAAGATGAGAAATAAGAATGAAATAAGGTGAATGCGAGAGCACGTTGGGACGCATCTCGATGATCATTATTAAAACATCACACAACAAATATAAACTCGACAAATTTCCTTTCTTCATACGTAAAAGTTTTACACATGCTTCAGAGAAATCGTCTCGAGATTGTTAATATTCGTGCGCAAAGGGGTTAAAATAACGTGGAATGAATAATAATTACAATCGATCGCAAACAGTTTCGCCGATACTTGTTTCCTTCGTAATTTCCAATCTTTCTCTTCCCACAGTAGACGTTCCAACCCGATGAAGGAGTCCACCTCGACAATTCCTCCGATCAAGTCTCGACTGGCGGATCGTGCGAATAGGTAAGCCGAACCATTCTACCATCGTATCTTCTACCGTACAACCGACACACCGAGGAAAACTAGTATATATATATATATATCTATCTATCTATTAGTAGGCGGTTTAGTTAGTTTAAAACGCGTGCATGAGGAGAAGGAACAGGGAACAAGGTTGTTCGTTTCGTTCGTAGAGAGAATATTATACGATAAGCGAACAAAAAAAAAAAAAAAAAAAAAACTAAGCCTGATGACCTTCTCCTGATGTCAATCATCCTTGATCCCGTTTCCTGATCCTCAGGCAACTCGAAGACGACGTCGGCCCGTCCACCTTTCGACCTGCCCCCCCTGTTAAAAGAATCTCCCACCTCCCAGTCCCGCCCTTAAAAGCGCATAAGAGAGAAAATTTCGAGGAGTGGAACAACAACACCGTTCCAACGATCCAATCGTCGCCGAGATCGTGCGACAAGAGACGCGAAGCGACGAGAAAGTCGCAGGCAAGAGCGAGGCAGGAGGAGCAGATCGGGCAAAAGGCGAGGCAGCAACAACAGGAGGAGAGGTGGTCGCACGGTCAAGCGTTGCCCTCGGCCAGGTCGTTGAGAATGAACATCGTCTCGGCTAGAAGCCAGGGGAATCCGAAAGTGAACGATGTCTCGATCAACGACGAGATCGTTGGGGTCACGGTGAAGCCTTGCAACATATACGAGGCTAGCCACGAGTTGACCACGTGGAAACAGATCGCCGAGACGGATCAGACCAAGGCTACGATTCGAAGGAGGCGTTGCCAGAAACGGGGGACGGGAACCAGGATCGAGAACGTTCGCGAATTTTCCTTGAACGACGAAGACGAGGACGACGAAGACGACGACGACGACGACGACGACGACGACGACGACGATGACGACGACGACGACGACGACGACGACGACGAGGAGGAGGAGGAAGAGGAGGAGGAGGAGGAGGAGGAGGAGACGAAGTTGAGCTCGAGGAGCGAGAGCGTGAATTGGTCGTCGACCACGACCACGTTGAATCAAACGTACTCGTTCAGGGGAACGGCGAACGACGAGCGTGCGAGGAGCAAAAGGTGGAGGCCGGTCAGGCACAGCCCCCGCGTCGAGTTCTGCTTGAAAGAGCCGGTTGAAAAATGCGTGCCGGATCAGGCGTTGCACGCCTCATCCCTGTTCGCCGGCGAAACGGGCAATAATCGGGAGTGTTACGATCCGCCAAATGCCTCGGGCGAGGCGCAATCGAAGCAGGAGGCGATCGTTACTTGGACCATCACCCGTCCCCCGTCCCGAGGGATTCCAACTCGGCGAGGAGCGGCGAGAAAATCACGTTCGAGAGATCGACCGGTTACAACGAGGAGGGGGAGGGGGATCTCGCGATTTTGAACCCGTCGTCGAGAGGTTTGGAGGAGAGGGTTACGGGGGATTACGGGAGTGGGGGGAGGGGGGAGGATGAGGGGAGGGAAAATTCTTGTTCCCTGCCCGTCGGGAAAAAGGCCGAGTGGGAGGGGTACGAGGAGGATCGTGGGGGGGGCAAGGTGGGGGAGGGTGAGGAGAAGGGGTTGAGGAGCGAGACGAATTGGATCGAGATGGAGCCGGCCTCGTTCCTCACCGAGATCATGCTCCAACCGTCGAGATCGAGCACCCCGTTCGTCAGCTTCGAGGCTCGTTCCACCAGGGAGGAGGAGGAGGAGGAGGAGGAGAGATACGAGGAGGCGGGGAAGAAGGAGGGGGGGGACTCGATGGGGTGGAAGTTGGAGATCGACACGGAGACGGGTTCGGAGGTGTTGTATCGCGTGGAGAACAACAAGAGCGGGGGGGGCTCGAATCCGGGGTTGGAAAGGAACGGGTCGACGAGTTTCGCTTCACCGACGCTGCAAAAGGAGAGGAAGGGGGAAAAGCTACCTTTCTCGAGGGGCGCTAGGTCCTCCTCGCTGAGAAGGGAGGAGGAGAAAGCGGCGGCCCGATCGCCGATACAGAGGAAAGAGGTCGGGAATCAGATAAATATTTGCCACTGCTCGAAGGAGGTATCGTCGAGGTGCGAGAAACGCGTGGGCGAGGATTATTCGATGGTCGATGCGAAGGGAGGAGAATCGCGACGATTGGTGGTGAGCTCGCGAAATCGAGGGAACTCCAACTTGGACGAATTGGAGAGGAATTTTAATTCGGACGCGATCGAGTCGTCCACGAGCCAATTCAACACGAATCCGGACGCGAAGAACGGTTTGAGGAACAACGTGGAGGAGGAGGAGGAGGAGGAGGAGGAGGAGAACGAGGAGGTTGAAGAGATCTATTCGGCCAAAGATTCGATTGCGACAGCGATAACAGCGTGGAGGATCGGGCGCGGGAGGCGACGAGCGACGATCCGAAATGTTCGAGGAGAACGGAGGAGAAAACGGCGAGGCGAACGCTTCCGAGTTTGCGATCGATCATTTTGTCCGAGTCTTGCGTGAAACTGAGCCAACGCGTCGAAATGGAGGATTCCGCGTCTGTGTCCACCTCGAATCGATCGACAGCCCTGAAATCCCGGCGATCGAGAAGGGTAGAGATAGAGAATAAAATTCAGGAGAACGTGAGTATCTTGAATGAGAGGAGCGGAGAGAGAGTTTAGTTGCGTCGTTAATGGAACGGCGTGGATAGACATGTGACGGATGTGAAGCAGGTCGAGACCGTGGAAGTGGAGACTATCGAGGAGATCGGAACCAGGAACAGAAGCATAAAATTTCGAATATTGCCGGAGATAAAGGGGACAGGTGTGCTCGCGAAGAGGGGCTACGACGATAAAGAGAGAACCGATTCTCAAACGTATTGGGAGAAAGCGTCGAAAGCAACGAGGAATCGTTTGATCAATCTCGATCCACCGTATCAGGGGGCGAGCAGGTTTCTTAAGAGAAATCCAAAAGTTCATATCCTTTCCCCCGTTCCAAGTAGCTCTTCCTTGGTTAACCGCAGGTAGGAATAGGAATACGTTTATTTACGTAGGAACGATCGTTATTAATATTTACGACGCCTTTTTTATTATCCATTATTCTCTTATTATTTAACTATCCGATCGATCGACCGTTTCCTTTTTTTTTTTTTTTATTCCTTTGCGCGTTAATTTTAGTTTTTAAGGGGAGAAGAGGTCAGAATAGTTAAAAATTTTTCACTATTCTTTTCCTTTTCACGTTGTGTAAATATGCGTGTACGTGTATTTATTGCGAGATGAAAATATTAATTTTCGCGATAACGGGCAAGTTATTACTCCTAACGATAGCTAACGATATTGTAGGAATATAAAACTGCCATTACATCCTGTATGGAGCAATTACGTGCGCAGAAGACCGGATTTTAATCTCTTACTTAGCAGTAGAACGTAAGTCCCAATCGTGGATGAACGAATGACGTTTCCAACACAGATTTTTCGTTTCTTGTGTTTCAATTATTATACCAAAAAAAAAAAAAAAGAAAAGAAAAGAGGAAAATTCCAATTCCGAACAAATTCTGCTATTCTAATAAAAATTGAATTCACTTCGATTTTTTGAAAAATTCATTTCATTTTTTTTCTTTCTTTCTTTCTTTCTTTCTTGAAACGAAAGTTTCAAGCCCTTTAAATTAAAATATCACGGGGCATGATTCGAGCCGCAAATCTTCATCTTGGCACGTTCTTTGATGTATCGCATGTAACAACGCCACACGAGTTTACCCATCACAATCGTGCAAATATTTGCTACGAAAACCGGGTAAAGAACATGCTTTGCATGTTTGGCCTGGGCTGAAAGGCTTGTTCTCCCTGTTTTACCCTACATATCATTGTCTTTTCACAGTATCGCATTATCGATCTTCTTGTTCATCGAACGCTTCTTAGGAATAGGAATTCAGAAGAATCGAACGATGTATTCGTGTATAAGCATGAAGCAAGGAGAGAGAGAGAGAGAGAGAGAGAGAAGCGAGAGAGATGGCAGATTTCTTCGACGTTATTTTCGTTTTATCGTCTTTCGTTTCCTTTTCCATCGCGACCACTTTTACCACATTCTTTACTTCGAGCATCTTCTGTTTCTCAAATATGCCTTGTAACATATTCTTTGTTATTGTTTTTTTTTTTTTTTTTTGTAAACGAGACTTTTACATCATACACATACACACACGCGCGCACATATACACACAATGCACCGATGTTCGAGCAAAAAAAAAAAACAAAAGACGTTTCTTTTCGAGATCTTTCGAATTATTAAGAAAAAAAAAAAATATCGATCGATCCACTGTTTGGCTGTGTGGACGCGACATAGAAAAGAGAGAAATAAAATTCCTTGGAAAAAAACGTCTCTTTGAAGGAGGGATAAAATTTTGAATCTTTTAATCGTGATTTTCAGCGGGAAGGATTACGATCCTTTCCTATTGGCGGAGCAACAAATGAACGACCTGCTCTCAGACACCAGCGAGCAATCCGTGGCGGATAGCGATCCATCGATCGAGCAAAATTCCCGTCAAAAATCATTCCCTCTCTCTCATTCCTCGGCATTCGTCAAATATCCTTGCCAATCCTCGCCCAATCTTTCGAGGAACGTTAATGAAAAACGTTCCCCCTCGAACGTGGCTCCTCGAACGGAACTCGACGACCTCGCCTCGGACTTCTCGAGCGATTCCACCGAGATGAACTCGTTGTCCCGGGAGGTCGTCTTTCTCGAAGACGAGAAACAGTCGAAAGATTCGAGGGAATCTCCGGTCAGAGAGTTGGGTAGACGGGTGATCATCGATAGGTCGAAAGCGTTGGGTGGGGACGGGTCGGTCGAGGAGGGGAGTAAAAGTGGTGGGGGCAAAAACGTGGCGGCCGGCTCGGACAGAGCTCGTAGGATCGCGGAGTCTAAAGTGTCGCCGAAAATGATTCGACCTGTGGTCAATCGTTCTCTGTCCGTTCGCGCCTCTTCCGCGCCCAAGGCTGCCCAAGAACGCGGGCAAAAAAATCCCGTCCCCAAGATCAATCCCCACGACGAGACGAACGTGTTGTCTCGTAAAAATAGGAATTCGAGGAATAACAATAATTTCGCTTTGAACCTTTCGAGCAGCAACTTGAGCCTTAGCTCGATAATATCCTCGGACGTGGACATGAAACGATCGAATTCGGTGTTCGACGAGTTGATGACCTCGTTCGAGGAGGATGAGAATGGTTCGTTCGTTCCATCCTTGAGATCCCTTCTGAAAACCGATTCCTTGTCCAGCCCGGTCCACGGAAGACACCGCAACGGCAGGATCAGCGACGAGGAACTGTCTTCGCCCGAGAGCTACAAGAGGCAGGATCACAATAAAATGAGCGGGGATTCCGCGTACAGCAGGTAATTTAATTTATTCGGATAATCTGCCTTCTTCTTTACGCTATTTTTTCCATCGTTCGATGTAGCACAGTGTGATCTAGCTTCCCGCGTGCACCTTAAAAATCACCCTTCGATTTCTTCCTCCTCTTTAGTTTAAATCGCAAATATTCACACCACGGACGCAGCACCAACGACGTGGCCGGACGTTTCGACGAGGACGCGTCGAGGAATAACCGTCGTGACGGGGACGGAGGTGGTGGGATCCACGTGACCAAGTGCAAGATGTCCAAGTATTGTCATCAATGCGGCTTCAAATTCCCAGAAACCGCCAAATTTTGTTGCGAATGCGGCATCAGGAGGCTCGTGCTCTGAAACTTTCGGCTGATCGACAGCTATGAACGACTTCGAAGAAGAGGCGATCAACTTCGAGTAAATTGTCAAACAATTCTTCGATTCGTAGACATTTTCTTTTTTTTCTTTTTCTTTCTTTCTTCTTCTTCTTCTTCTTCTTCTTAGACAAAAGGCAAAAAAACTTCAAAACTTTAAAATTGCAGATAAGATGATAGAACGATACGAATGTAAACACAAGATTCAAGAACAAATGTCGAAGCACGGATGATGATAAAAAATATATATATAATATCGGCACACGAAGGAATTGAAAAGAAGAGTTTATTTTAAATATTTGTGAAACTATTTAGAGAAGAGAAGAATTTTTATTCTTGCAGTTTAGAATTGAAAGCTATGTATCTATCTACGTATACTCTAGTCACACGTTTTGGCTATGTGAAATTTAAGGGAAGAAGTTTAAAAAAAAAGAATAGTGAAATTTATCTGGTATATCAAGGAACACGGAAGAGGAAATCTGTCGAGAGCAAAAGAATAACTGAGATTTCTATTATATATATATATATATATAATATATATATTATTTTTTGATTAGCAAAAGAAAGGATTAGATTTTAAAAATTTAATTGATTTAAGATTTCACGTCCTTCCAATATTCAAGATCAAATTTGTTCTATATGAAGATTCGTATGAAACATTTGGTACGAAAATCGAATAAGAACGAATGATAAAAGTTGTAGAACGTAATACGATGATATTGTTCATAATTATTCGAATTATTTTTACGTGATACGTAAATATTTTATATTTATTGGAATAAATGGATATGATAAATTTACAAATATATATACGTAAGATCTAAATTATAAATTTGAATCAATAGAGAAAAATTCTTGGTAAGAATTATCAGATTTATTCATATAATAACTTGGCATTAAATTCTGATTGATGGAATAATCGATTATTCGAATAATTGTGAACAATCGATTATTACAAACGGATATATTTTATTGAAATTTCATTAATTTATTAAGTGTATGCGTTATTGAAAGAAAACTTTACGTTTGCTTTTTGTTAAACAGCAAGTACTTAACGCGAAGGGACGAAAAAGGATGATTTTATAGTAGCGTTCTCGGTTACATTGTTCATTGTTATAATATTACTCACGCCTCTTTTTATTCATTCAGCTTTGCGCCTGTGAACAAGCGATACATTAAAATCCGTCTTCTTTTTCCCTATTCTATTTATCCTCGAATAACAATTTTTTTACGCTTTTTATATTACGCGAGTGGGCACGAACGAAGAAGAAAAATGAAGATGAAAATCGTATCACGCATTTACTCGAATCACGTATTTTATAAGTGTATGTGTGTGTGTGTATGTGTGCAACAAAACGATCGTAGCGTAAGTTTAAAGAAAGTATTTATTAGAAATAGGTGAATTGCTAGTACAATTTCGCGTTCTAATAACAATCGGTTATATATTGAATCGTTGCTAAACTTATAACAAATTACGGGTGAGTAACCAAATGCACCGTTTTTTTTTTTTTTTTTAATATAATAACAAGGTAAATAACAACGTAAGATTTTTATTGAAAGAAGAATGAAAGCTGAATATAATAGCCGCTACAAAATCTGCCGAAATAACGTTTAATATCCTAGTGATGAAAGCGATTCGTTACTTATCTATCCATTCTCTGGTGTCCAACGAATACCAAAGTGAAAAATCGAACCGATTAGCAAAGAGATATAAACCAAACTAATTGTATACTGTCCTAATAACGTAACAAATTGTCTATGTTTTGAACTGTATTTTTGCAAGTGCAATAAAGTTATGCTTGTACAAAATACGAGTACCTACTGTGCTACTTTTACAGCGATCCCCTTGGTACTCCTTGAAAACAGTCATGATTCACCGTTTTACTTCTTTTATTAAATGACAAGCAAACGAATATCACCTTGTTCACGTTAATTATACTTCATACCGCATACCACGAACTTCAAGAAATAATGTTGCGATCTGTGAATCATTTGCCGCGATTTATCGCAAGGAGTAATGTAATTATCAGAAATATTGATTTTTTTCTTCGATGAATAAACTTGATTTTTACCTTTCCGCTTTTCTTTCCAGCGATTTCCTTCGCAAATCCAGCATTTGAAGCAGGAAAGTGGTCGGTATTTTCACGTAAACTTCAGTCCAGGTCAGGAAAAAGTGAAATGTGGTACAGACACGAATGTAAAGAATTTTTAATACAAATTTCCCATTTCCATTCAATCATTTTATCGAATCTACGGTATTTATGAATTATTCATATTTTAATATCTCGTATATTTTTTTTACAGAATTATCCCGTGATAGATCATTGTTACGATGTTGTGGTTGTAGGCGCGGGTGGTGCAGGATTGAGAGCCGCCTTCGGTTTAGGTAACTTTATCACAAATCACAGTTACATGATTTCAAAACTAAATCGAGATTAATTTTTTTTTTTTTTCCCATTTTTCTTTTCCATTTCAATTTCAACGTTAAATTCTTTGTTAAATAGGAAGTAAAGGATACAGAGTGGCAGTGGTTACAAAATTATTTCCAACGAGATCTCATACCGTGGCCGCTCAGGGAGGAATAAATGCCGTCCTTAACAACGACAAGGATGATAATTGGCTTTATCACATGTACGATACCGTTAAAGGATCCGACTGGTTAGGAGATCAGGATGCGATACATTTTCTAGCGAGAGAGGCACCACGGGCCGTCTACGAGCTTGAAAATTACGGTAATTTTATAAAATAAATATCAGTGTTGGAAAATTGAGAAATTAAAAAAAAATAACGAAAGACTATGAATATATATATATATATATATTTTTGATTAATGAAACTACTGTTCACTGGAATGGAAAGAAGTCTCACGAAAGGAATGCAAGATTTGATCGGTTAATTTGAAAGGAAATGTCTATTTTTTTAGGCATAGAATATATATAACTATAGATATATTAATATTGTATCAAAATAATTAATAATTTCGAAAATATTTCAGCTTCCAATCTTAGATGATTATCTTTAACGTAACTTCATAAATGAAAATAATTTTTACAATTTTGAATATTTAAATTATAGCTCTTCTACTATTATGCAGTACGTGGTGTCAGGATCATTCTCAACAAAGCGTCTAAAGTGGGGATAGGCGGTCCTAGCGAAGGATTCCTCTTGCCCCTGTGCCCCTGTCCCACGTGACTTCTTTCCACCAGTGAGCAGTACTTTGCTCTACTTTAACGTAACGTAACGTTGAAAAGTTTGAAACTTCTCAATTCAACGATCTCTTTAACGATGTTAAAATATATTTAATAATTCGTTCACGATGAACAAGAGTTAAAAGTTTTTCTTAAATATTATATTACATTAATGATAATGATATTTTAGGCTGTCCTTTCAGTCGTACGGAAGATGGAAAAATTTATCAGCGTGCATTCGGTGGTCAGTCGTTAAAATTTGGAAAGGGTGGCCAAGCCCGTAGAACTTGCGCCGCTGCGGACAGAACCGGCCACGCAATACTGCACACTTTATACGGACAAAGTTTACGTTACGACGTGCATTATTATGTGGAATATTTTGCTCTTGATCTACTTATGGTCGGACGATGCTGCAAAGGCGTAATGGCGTGGGAATTAGAATCCGGGCTTTTGCATCGGTTCAGGGCTCATCATACGGTAAATTCGTTTTTCATCGATGTCAGGATTGAAATATTTATTATATATTATAACGGTATACTGTATTTCTTTCTTCTAAAATCTTTGGTAAGAAATATTTTTAATACTTTATTACAAGAATTAATCGAGACGCTGTTTTAATATGAAATTAAGATTATTCTTTATCGGTTTTCAAATTTTAATATATTATACAGTGGAACAATATGTTTTTATGTATAATATTCATTTTACTGAATTACTAAATTATTATTTAATTTTTCAATAATTTTTATATAAAAACATGTTACTCTGCTAAATTCTGCTAAATTTCGGATTATATAACATATTCATGGGCATTTTAACCGTATGTTGAGAAAAAAAATTCCAGTTTATCTTTAGCATCACGTTACTGTTATTCCACGAAATACGTGACGATCGTTCTCTGAATCTTAACAAGAATTTTGCTTACCATTTATATATTTATTATTCACTGATGGAAAGAAGTCTCGCGGGAGGAATACAAGTCTGATTGGTTAAACCATGGTATTTATCACATATACTAATCCAAAACGATCTAAATCTCGATGCATTAGCGTAAGCATAGAATCCAAAGAATTCTAACGTATCGATATAATATAAAAATTTTTTTATTTCTCATAATATGTGTAAGTTATGATTTATAACGATAGTTTAATTTATAAATGTAATTTTGTATTAAGATAATAGTGTAGTTAAGATAATAATTATATGTATACGAATAAGGCATATTATCAAAATAATTAATAGCTTCAGAAAATATTTCAGCTTCCAATCTTAGATGATTATCCTTAACGTAACTTCATAAATGAAAAGAATTTTTACGATTTTGAACATTCAAATTATAGTTCTTCTATTATTTAATGTGTGGTATAGTTAACAAAGCGTCTGAAGTGGGAATAGGTGGTCCTAGCGATGGATCCCTCTTGCCCCTCCGCCTCACTTCTTTCCACCAGTAAACAGTATTTGCATATACACATAATACAATTCATATACATGTATACATGTATATGTATTAATTTTTTAACGATAAATCTACCGATTAATAATGCTTCGTTTGTCGACTCTTTGAGGATTAAATTTAAAATCGATATCGAATCGAGATAATATAAATATAAATATATAAAGAAGCTGACACTTTTTGCAGGTGTTAGCAACAGGAGGAGCGGGAAGATGTTACTTCTCTTGTACCGCGGCTCATACATGCACTGGAGATGGCCTTGCGATAGCCTCCAGAGCAGGGTTGCCCCTTGAAGATATGGAGTTTATCCAATTCCATCCAACCGGTATTCGCGTGGCAAAAAAAGGAAAACAGAATACGAAACCAAGAGTAAATGATTTCCGCGTTTAACCATGTGATCTTTCTTCCAGGGATATATGGAAGCGGCATTTTGATAACGGAGGGCGTCCGAGGGGAAGGTGGAAAGTTGGTAAATGCTGAAGGAGAATTCTTCATGGAACGATATGCTCCGAACGCGAAAGATCTCGCATCTCGTGATATCGTCTCCAGGGCGATAATGATGGAAGTATTGGAAGGAAGGTGAATTTTTCAATAATGATTTTTTTTCAAATCACGTACTGTAATTAGATTGTATTATATTAATATTTCTTGAATTATTATTTTAAAGAATACTGACATAGTTGACATTTTTTCGTAAAAAAATCGTAGATGGAGAAAAATTTGGAAATGTATTATATATAATATTATATAAGTAAATTTATAAGTAAGTTTATAAATTTGCTGTCAAGTAATAAAGAAAACTCGAATCTTCGTGATAACTTTGATAAAAAATTGACATGTTTTCCAACAGTTACATAAGATAAATTATGTAAAATTTAGTATGATGAATTCAAAGTTTCTAATAAAAATAAAAAAAAAACATAGTTTGAATAATTCTGTATTATTTTTTACTAATATTTAATATTTTTTATTTGTTTATGATACTTCCGTATGATATTCTTTTTAAATTACTTAAAAATTGTTTAAGATCATAAAAATTATTCTTAGAAAAACATCTAAAAATATATTCCAATCTTTATCAATCTTATAATAACACTTTTCATAATTCATTCAGAGGTGTAGGTTTCAAGAAGGATCATGTGTACCTGCAATTGCATCATTTACCATTAGAAACGATACGAACACGATTACCAGGAATTTCACATTTATCTTGGGTGTTCAGCGGCGTGAATGTGGAAAAAGAGCCGATACCAGTTATTCCTACGGTACATTACAACATGGGTGGTATACCCACAAATTGGAAAGCGCAGGTAAATTGTAAAAACAATACTATAGATGACCTAAATAGATCAGGTATGAATCATCAATTAATAATTCTATGGGTAAGGTTCTGTCGCGCGAGAACGAGGAGGATACCATTATCGATGGACTTTGGGCAGCAGGTGAAACTGCATGTGTATCCATCCATGGCGCCAATCGATTAGGCGCCAACAGCCTTCTAGAATTGGTCGTTTTTGGCAAAGCAATTGCCGATCAAATTGACTGTTTAACGAGACCTGGTGAACGTCACGAGGATTTATCAACCGTAAGAATTTTATTATTTATGGTCTATTTTCGTGAAATCGACGCATATCGAGTATTGCAGAAATATTGCAGAATACTTGACTAGTTATTTCGGCCAAAATCGTCGAATATTAGATAGTCGTTCAACTTTTCTTTTTAATAAATTTTTCATATTCTTTCTTCGTTTTTATATTGATCGAAGGAAAAAATAATATATTTTTCTAAATAGTATAGTCTTTGGTCATCAAACATTTCTTTTTTCCTTTAAGCATATTATATTTTATATAAGTAGAAAATTATTTTTGAAAGTTATTCAAATTATATTAGTTTCATTATTGATAAATTATTGATAAATTCATTTAATAAAAACAAAATATTATAATGTATTTTTTGAATTTTTTTCAATTTCTTTTACAGTATAATAGAAAAAAAAACTATAATTCTATTTAAAAAATTCAAAGTAATCTTTAAGTATATTATTTATATAATAATAAACTAGTTTTGAAATGTCTATTTAATATACTTAAAAAAAAAGATAAAGAAAAAGATAAATTTTATTATTATTTTACTTATATTTACTTATTTTAAATTTTATTATTTAATTTAATTTTAAACGATTAAAAAGTAATGATATCTCATATTAACTAATTAATAAATATCTTGAACATATATAAGAGATATAATTCTTCTTATATCTAGAAATAAATCTTTAAGTATTGACTAATAATAGCAAAAAGTACACAATATACTAATATAGTATATCTTGCATCGAATATTAAAAACATTAAGAAATAGTAAAAAGAACAACATTAAAAAGCTATAAATGAAGATAACAATCGATGTTGTAAATTACAGGCATGTAAATTTATCGTATGTTTTTTTTGTAACGTTATCTCGTTTTCTATTCTTAATGGTGACCCACATATGAGGCAATCAAGTTATCAAAGTTCAATTGGAATTTTTATAATTATTATTACTATCGTAATTATGCATTGCATAATTAAATATTATTTAAACTATTATGAACTTTAACAAGAAAATATTAATTGATATTTGTTTCTTTAATCTAATATTAAAATATTTTTTTGAATGTTATATTTTAAATTATAATATTAAAAAGAAACAATTTAATTCATCAACTTTCATTCATAATCCCCTATTCAATAAACACTTCCGTTCAACAATGAAATTCGAGTCGAATTGATTCGAATTCAACAATGAAGAATAGAATACTAGCTATTATTAACTTCTATTATCATTTTTCTTCTGATGAGTATATTTCAAACATTCATATTTGTATACAGTTGATTGGCGAGGACACTATTTGCCGTTTCGACGCAACACGTCATGCAAAAGGTTGTGTTCCTATAGTCGAACTACGGGAAGAAATGCAGCAAACTATGCAGAAATATTGTTCAGTATTTAGAACCTGCGATACATTACAACGAGCATGTCGTGAGATGACGCGACTTTATACCTGCGATTTGCCGGATCTATGTGTAGGTGAATTGATCGAAAAGTTCCATTTACGTAAGATCGAACTATAGTCTTAACCTGCACGACATTCAATGCTTCTTTCACAGTTGCAATAATTGTTATATAATTATTAATTAACGAATGATATGAACAGAGCAATATCTCTGACTTTCCGCCAAATATTGTTAATATATTTTACAAGTAAAAAATGACAAAAATATTTTATTAAAAAATTATAGCAAAAAAGTGAAATAACATTTAATACATTATAAAGATTAGTATCATAGTATCATCTAACATGTCTAACACGTTGAAATGCAATAATAATAAAGTAAATCAAATTAATCACATATTGATTTTATACATTTTATATCTATTCAAATAATTTTGTAACAATATGTTTAAAGTTCTTTTACGCAATAATTTATTATTTACTAATATTAATTGATTCACAAGTTATAGGTTATGAATTTTGATTTTACTATTTAAAGAAAAAAAGATATAAAGAATAAACAAATGATTTAGAAATTCATGAAATTTATTTCTAAAATTTCATTTCATAATTTATAATTTATAAACATTATTAATAATTTAATTATGCAAGAAAGTACACATCGAAATTTTTTCTATTTTCTATTAAATATTTCTATTAAATATTTCCAATTTTATAACACAGCTATCAGGAATTTCACGTTCAATTTACTGTAGGTTCAAGATCAATCACTAATATGGAACACAGAACTGGTAGAAGCTATAGAATTACAAAATATGATGTTATCTTGCATGCACATCGTTTACGCAGCAGAAAACAGAAAAGAATCTCGAGGATCACATGCCCGTGAAGATTTCAAAGTATTTGCAATTTTCGCAATGTATTTAATATATAACTTATTAATTTTCACGAAGAATTCAAACAAAAATTATATTTGTAGGAACGAATTGACGAGTATGATTATGCGAAACCGCTCGAAGGTCAAAAGAAGCGGTCGTATAAAGAACATTGGCGCAAACACACACTTACATGGGCTCGACCAGATGGTTCAGTGAGTTATCGAACTTGTCCATATTCTATTATCGTTCATTCTGCAAATATATATACATATGTATATATGTCTATATACATTCCTATACTACAGAAGATCATACAATGGAATTCTATTTATTCAAATCAGTCAAAACGAATAGTTTTTATGACTAGAGTTATATAATAAGAGTTATATCTATTACTATTATCTATAAATTTTTATTCAAATAATAATATTTACGTATAAATAAATTCAATAAACGAAGAATTTTGTTTAATTTGATAATAATTATAATTTCATTCTAATGAATAGACTTCTATTGTATATCTATTATATTATACTATATTTTCTGAAAGAATTTTTTATTTCTTTGTTTAATATAAAATTCGAATTTATTTGCTAACTTGAATTCAAAGTTTTATTAAAAACATTTTATTCATTTTCAAAAACTTTCTTATTTGTAAATATATTTAGATTTGCCAAATTACATAATACATATACATATGTTCTTTTTTTTTTATCATCTTTAGATTTCAAAAACATTTATTGTATTTTACAGATCAGCATTTCTTATCGTCCCGTTATCGATACGACACTGGACGAATCAGAAGCCCGACACGTTCCACCAACAATTCGAATATATTAAATACGGTTATGAAACTGGTAGATTTTTTCCAATCTTTTTCCTCGTTTTTTTCGTCTGGTTCTATTCTATTTTTTAAATTAACGCATTATCAATAGCTAACATTGTTCATGTTAGTGTAGCTGATAATTTAAATATGAGCTCAATTCTTTATCTTGAAATTACAACGACGAACATACATATTTCGTTGTTTGTAGAAGGTTCGTGAATTCCATATAAATTTTGTTCATCGCATGCAAACAATGTTAATTAATTCTAAACAGAAGTGGGGATTTATCCTTTTTATTTACATATTAAATAGTCAACCAATCGTCAATAACAAACGGAATTATACATATATGTTCTTCAATTATACATATATGCTTCCGAATGAAAGTCATTTTTTCCTGCTGTTTATGATTACTTTCGAATATTATAGTATAATTAAAAATTAGCACTTGTTTTAAATATTTTCAACAAGGTGAAAATGATTATTTGGAAATTTTACATCGATTTGCTATATTTCGTAAGATCGAATCATTGATGAATAATTGACGTGCATAAAACGTGCATGACGTTATTACATTCTATATTATTTAATTACATTCGATGTATATGATAAATGCAACGAAGTTATATAATTAAAAATATATATAATATAATTTTACGATCTCATTGTATCGGATATAAAATATAACAATTTCAAATATATTAATCTAAAAAATTTTTAATTTTTTTCTTGAATCTTGAGTTATATTTTGACTTGTAAATTGAGTTTTTCAAATATCATTAATTTATTATGTGCTTTATATATTATTATATCTTTATAAACAAATCAACAAAACTTTTCAATAATTATTATATAAAATATATTCATAAAATATGTAAAAGATTTATATCATTTATAAGCTTAGTCATGAACATCTACACTAACTATATACGTGGAAGTTAACCTGTTTCATAAATTATTCCTATAGCAACACTAATACTTGAATTGTTATTGTGTTAGTAGCATCTGGTTGAAAGAGAAACCTGCTATGTAATACCCCACCATATAGCATAAAGTTTATCTATGTATGTAGAGACGAGCCCACAAAGAATCAACCAATAGGGAAGCAAAATATACATCGTACCGCCAACCCTGGAGCACGATAAATCTTTTTTATTTTTTCCTTTGCGTGCAACAGGAAATAAAGCTCGATTAAGCACCGTTAGTGACTATGTTAATAACTTTGTAAAATGTTTTACAAAATTAATATCGTGAAATTCAAAATGATAGATTTTGAATATTTTAAAACTTTTTAAAACATTTTAAAATCAATTCGCATAGAATCATTATTTCATTAAATATAATTAAATTTAAAATCTAAAATGTAACGGCTGTATAAATATAAATAATGTTACTTCTATATTTAACAACGAAGCTTTATAGTTTTCAATTGATATTAATTCTTATAGAAGTTTATTAAATGAATTTAAAATTTTTAGCCTTTTTTATTTTCATTTAATTTTTATTACTCAAATCATAGGTAAATATATAATATACATTATTAAAGTTAGTACTAGAGTACTTTCCCTTTAGAACCTATGCTATTCACAGCTATGTATATAATTTTAAAATACCGTTAACACCCCATCATATGTAAAGTGAAATGAGAACCGCTTAATTTTTTCGCGGTATCATTTAATTTTCCCGCCTATAGTTAGCTACTATTCGTAATATTAACTTCAAAATTCCGAAAGATTAAGAATTAATATTAAAACAATTATATGTTGTTAACGTTAAAAACAATCAAGACATATGAATAATAAATAATGAAATGGAAATTTAAAATTAGTGAGAGTCTTAAAGGTAAGGTTATCTTATAACGATACAATTGGCAGCACTGGTATTCTTCAGGGAGCTTCCACCAGTAGTCGGTACTCAACCGACTCGAACGTTTCACGTCTCCGTGCAAGAAGTGCGGGAGTGAAATAATAAAAATTAGGGTTAGTTACACGATATAATCGAATCGCGCATTCGACAAATAAGTGCGCGCGTAATTATTAATAATAAAAATTTTCACTTGAACAGGTGACATTATATCAAAATGAGTGGTCTATTAAAGCTGTCGTCTTTACTAGTGAGAAATCCTCCCACAACGACGTTGGTAAGTTGCTTTTCATTAAGTTATATAATTTTTAATCTAATGGTATATCTTTATCATATAATATCTAACATTGATCAATTACGTAAGATTGCTAACATATATTAATGGACCTGTATCGATTCACTGAATTTCTCTGTTATGAAAAATCATAATTCTTTACATCTATTTTAAAACCACGAATAAAGAAATATCTATTAAACCTAATATTTGAAATTATAATAATTAAAATATGCATTCGAAATAGATAAAAGAACGTTTAGCATATATCGAATGTCTCTTTTTTGCCGCACTTCCCTCATTTCTTACGCGCCACCCCACTAGTAACCGGCCTATACAATAATCGTGATTTTTCATTGCAAAGTAGGTAACGGTGATTCTAATTTCCGTTATCTTCATTAAACAGATAATTATTTATATATTTTTTATTTCAATATCGAATTTAAATAATCAATTATGAAATTAGAAGTTTAATTATAATTACGTATGAATTACCGGCATGGGAAGTTGACATTAGCGCGAAATTACATTCTTTAAATTATGATTTCATGTGTTATAAATTCAATGACTCTATTATCTTCAAGTTTCTCCGACTTATATTCTTCGTATTATGTTAATCACAAATGAAAATGCAATAGAATTATTTCAGAAGATTATTGAATCGTCAATTTTCACATTCAAGAATTTATGTGATGTATGATACTATATTTTAAATGTATTTTTAAACGAAAAATTTTTTGAATATATCTGTTCAATGTATCAATTTAAATTATATATAAATATATGATATATTTTTATAGAATAGAATAAAAAATTTGTATCTTTAATTATATATATTTTCTTTATAATGCTCTATATGATGAATAACAGGTAATATAATGAATACACGTGATGAATATACAAATAATAATATCATGATTTTATTATAAAACAATCATTTTTAATTTGATAAGAGGAAATACTTTTTATTATAATTAACTTTCAAAAATTTAAATGATAATATATTTTTTCATTATATTTCATTAAAATTTTTCAAACATAGTTAACCTCTTGTTTATAATCATATGTCTTAATTAATTACATAATTTTATATATTATAATTATCTTAATATTATAAATTAATATTATAAATATTATAAATTATAATTATTAAAAAATATTTAAAAATTATTATTTATAAATTACTATAATTATTAAAAATTATAAAGTTGAATTAATAAAAAAATAATTTATTTTATTTTTAAACAAAATTTTGTTAAAATGTAAGTTTTAATTACGAAAAATTAAAACCAAGATTAAATTTTCGTTTAGATTGTTGATATTGCAATATCAATATAAAATTAATGTACTATGTGTGAAATAAGTATTAAATACCATATTATCGAATTATTTATTAAATCAATTTATGTTTTGCAATGATTTAAACAGTGTCATATTACTTTTTTCAATTCAATTTCTAAAACCATTTTATGTTTTATAAATAGAGCATTAATGCAATAATGGTTATCCTATATATATGAATAGTCATGTATGTATGTACATGCATACATGTACTTACATCTATGCATAGATACTATAGAATAAAATTTAGTTATGATTTTATAATTACTATATATATATATTATTTTTATTCTAATCAATCAATTATTTTTTCACATTATTTCAGAATAAATTAGGATTACCTGTTATTACAAATCGCAAATTACATTATACACCAGATGGCAAAGCTGCAAAAATCTCAGATGGTGTTTCTAAGCATTATCCATTAGTAGATCATACTTATGATGCTGTTGTTGTTGGTGCTGGTGGAGCAGGATTACGTGCAGCTTATGGTTTAGTTGCTGAAGGATTTAAGACAGCAGTTGTTACTAAATTATTTCCTACAAGGTCACATACTGTTGCTGCTCAAGGAGGTATCAATGCTGCCCTGGGTAATATGGAAGAAGATAACTGGCAGTGGCATATGTATGACACTGTGAAGGGATCTGACTGGTTAGGTGATCAGGATGCTATTCATTATATGACACGTGAAGCCCCAAAGGCAGTCATTGAATTGGAGAATTGTGGCATGCCTTTCAGTCGAACTTCAGATGGTAATATTGTTATAAAATATATTTAATATTATATGGCTTATTTATAAAGTATAGAATTCTTTTTTTAATTTTATATGAGTCATAAATATACATAATAACATAATATATTCATGATTTTTAAATAACAAACTACACAAGGAAAAGTTATTCAAACATCAATTAATTATAAACACAATCACATTTATATAACCAATTATCATGTGCTTATGAACTCATTTCTGACATGTCACTTGTATTTGTATCTGTTGAACAACCTGAAGTAATTGAATCAGTATCAGATTCAGTATAATTTTTATTCTTGTTAGGTCTTTTTGGTTCCTGCAATTAAAAGCATTTAGAATAAAATAAATAAATATATATATATATATATATATAAATTTACTTATTTTATTTGTAAATATTAAACAATTATCTTAAATAAGATATTAACCTTCTTTTTTTTTTCTTTCTTGCCAGGTTTTTCTTGTTTTTGAGAGTCATCAGTCTTTGGTTGTTCTATATTTATATTTTCAATTTTATATGTATTTTCAGTTTTCTGTTGATTTTGTTTCTTATTTCTAATGTCCATAGCTGCCTTTAAATATGGCTGTTTTTCATCAGAAGTCATTTTCTTCCATCTTTCACCAGCCATTTGAAATATTCTACTACTTTTTACACCATCATAATTCTATAAAAATAATATTTTTTTTAATATAATTCTATAAAAATAGTATTAAAACTAAATAAATGAATATTTTATGTTTAATTTGTGCTTACTTGTCTGAAATCCTGAACAAAATTTATAAAAGCATTGGAACTCCAATGTCTAGAACTTTTATATGGTGAACGAGAACGAGAATGGACCCTTTGGTTCAAACTATATAAATAATAAATATAATGAAAATCAATATTTATATAATTATAATTAATAAATTTAACACAAATTATAAAAATAAATAATAAAAATATATAAATTACCTATTTGATTTCAGTTTAGAATTTGATTTAGACTCTATTATTTTTTTAATTTGTTTACTTGTATTGTATTCTTCATCTTTAAAATTTTCTTCATTAGATCCATCACAATTTTTCTCTTGGTTTATATTTTTATCCATAATTGAATATATATAATTTGTAACTTTTTAATATTTATAACAATGTTTCAACATTTTTTATTCAAAAACATTATTTTAAATTTGTTATTCTAAAGAAATAAATATTATTATTACCAAAATTTATAACAATATCAAAAAATATGTTGATATAAATTTGTTATTGACACTTAAAAATAACAAATTATATTTTATGGTTGCTATGTACTTAAATATATATTATTGCATTCTAGTAATGTGAATATGGTTATATTATATAATGTTAATTTTAAACTAAAGTTTGTATAATAGGAGAAGAAAAAATAAGAGTCAAATTATATATAAAATAATTATAAATTATTAATAAGTTGAATCTTTATATATATTCAAAATATTACATCAAATATAAAATTTTTCCTGAGATAATAATTTCTATTTTAGGTAAAATATATCAACGTGCTTTTGGTGGACAATCTCTGAAATTTGGAAAAGGTGGCCAAGCTCACAGATGTTGCTGTGTAGCAGACAGAACGGGTCATTCTTTACTTCATACATTATATGGTCAATCCTTGAGTTATGACTGTAATTATTTTGTTGAATATTTTGCTCTGGATTTATTAATGGAAGATGGAGAGTGTAGAGGAGTGATTGCTCTTTGTTTGGAAGATGGTACACTTCATCGTTTTCATTCTAAAAACACAGTATTAGCAACTGGAGGATATGGACGTGCATATTTCTCTTGTACATCTGCTCATACATGCACTGGTGATGGCACTGCAATGATATCTAGAGCCAATTTGCCTAATCAAGATTTGGAATTTGTGCAATTTCATCCTACAGGTATAAAATAATGTGCAAAAGTTGATTTACTTCAAATGATCAAATACTAATATTATATTTATGAAATTATTTTAGGAATATATGGAGCTGGTTGTCTTATCACAGAAGGTAGTCGTGGTGAAGGAGGCTATCTTGTAAATAGTGAAGGTGAAAGGTTTATGGAACGTTATGCACCAGTTGCAAAAGATCTAGCCTCTAGAGATGTTGTATCTAGATCTATGACTATTGAAATTCGGGAAGGCAGGTAAATTATATGAACGCAAACAATATATTCAAATCGTACAATAAATAAAAGTAAATATTATTACTATCAAAATCAAAACAATCAAAAAATATGTTGATATAAATTTGTTATTGACATAATAAATCATTGCTACTATGGTTGCTATGTACTTAAATATTCTATTTGAGAAGAAATAAATGGAAAATTTTTTATTATTTTTCAATTTAGAAATATTGAAAAATGAATAAATAATATTTAATTTACAAAAAATTATTTGATTAAGATTATATCATAATATACATAACTTATTTTTATTTAGAGGTGTTGGTCCTGAAAAAGATCATATTTATTTGCAATTACATCACTTACCACCTGAACAGTTAGCAGCTAGGCTACCTGGAATCTCTGAAACAGCAATGATATTTGCTGGAGTTGATGTAACCAGAGAACCTATTCCAGTTATACCTACGGTACATTATAACATGGGTATGTATAACATTTTATTTTCTTTTAAAAAATATATTACTATATTTTATAAATCAAATCATAAATATGTTATATAATTTAATTTTATATTATTAAAAATTTTATTATATAGGAGGAATACCTACAAATTACAAAGGACAGGTTCTAACGAGAAAAAATGACCAGGATACAGTCGTGCCCGGACTTTATGCTTGTGGAGAATCAGCTTGTGCGTCTGTTCATGGTGCTAATCGTCTTGGTGCAAATTCATTATTAGATTTAGTTGTATTCGGCCGTGCTTGTGCTAAAACAATTGCAGCGGAAAATAAGCCAGGAGAAACTATTGGTCCTCTAAAACCCGTTAGCATAAATTTTTATTATGATTATCAGATAATATAATGCTAAACTATTATTATAATTTAAATTTATTTTAGAATGCTGGAGAAGAAAGTGTGGCGAACTTGGATTGGGTCAGAAATGCGAATGGTAATGTTTCTACTGCAGAATTAAGATTGAGCATGCAAAAAACTATGCAAACTCATGCAGCGGTATTCAGAACAGCTGAAACATTACAAGAAGGTACAATTTCAGATCAAAATTTAAAATTATTTTAAAAATGATGATATTTGAAATTGAAGTATTCTTAAATTTTATTAGGATGTCAGAAGATGTCTGCCTTATATAAAAAATTGAATGATCTTAAGGTGTTGGACAAATCTATGATATGGAATTCTGATCTTGTAGAATCTCTTGAATTACAAAATTTAATGATCAATGCCATGCAAACAATAGTAGCTGCTGAAAATAGGAAAGAAAGTCGTGGGGCTCATGCACGTGAAGATTTTAGAGATAGAATCGATGAATATGATTACAGTAAGTCATTAGAAAATCAAAAACCCAGACCATTGGATCAACATTGGCGAAAACATACACTCACAAAAATAAATGTTAGAACAGGAGAAGTAAGTATTAAATATAAAATAAATAATATAACTATTACTTTTTTTTGTTCAACTTAATAAGTTAAATTCTTTTTAGGTATCTATCGATTTCAGACCAGTTATAGATAATACTCTAAACAAACAGGAATGTGCGACAGTTCCACCCGCAATTCGTTCCTATTAGAATTTTTTTTCGAAGTAAATTTTATTTTTTTTACATTTTTTTTAGTAAAATTTTTTGTCCTTATCTATTTAAAATTGTCTATATATAGGATTTGTATAATTTCTGTACAGGAAGGAGCAACCGACAAGGAGAAGTTACCGATATTCTATCATTACAATGCAGCAATTTTATTTATTATTGCACGTGAATCAGATCGTGCACCAAAGTGTAATTCTTGTCAATACTTGCACGTGTTGCAAGCAAGATTAGTTGTCCTTGTAGGATAATGGTGCTGAAATTATCTTCATTATTTTAAAGAAGATTTTAATCGATCTCTTAGCAAATCAATGCTACATTTATATAAATTGAATAGTAAAATATTCTAGCGTGATTCAGGCAGCAAATAATTTCACGCACAGATCTTTTAAGGGGGAACGTTCTGCCTACCTCTATACAATTTTCAGTATTTCTGTAATTCTCAGTCGGAATAATGTCTTTTTCTACCGAACAATTTTACAAATTCTATCTAATAATATTAAGAGTTATTTAATGAAGATATTTTGTACGATAATTCATGAGCTAGTACTCCCTAAAAGGTTGTGCAGCAAAAATATGCCACTTTAAATGCGGCTATATACTTAACATTAACAGGTTAACATAGAAACAGTCTTAATCACAAGAATAACAATTAAACTTGATTTGTTTGTGATCAAAACTTGATTATATTTTGTATTTGATAGTATAAATTTATTCTCTAATATAGAATAATGCTATTTGTGTTTTTAGTTTGGTGTGTCAGTACTTATATCATTATTCAATATGTAGCTTGGTTTGTATTTTGTTTGATTATCTGTTTCTAAGTTGCCTGTTACAACAGTCATGTATTATTTTTATCGTACTATATATTTCATAAATAATCTTGAATAATGTCGAAATCAAAAAGTACATGGATGAAATCGTGTACTTTAATATAATTTAATATGAAAAGATATGCTGTGCAGCATGATATGTACATAAACTTGTCAATAAAACAGAAATCTTCATTCTTCTACTTATAAAAATTATTTTTCCGTGTAAAGTGTATGTATAAAATTTTATCTCTTATTAAGTTGTATTTATTTTTGTTTATTTATTGCTATATTGTATTTATAAAAAAAACACTATATTCTTGACGAATATCGTTTATTAAACCCATAATAATAATAATAATTTTTATGTTTTGATCATAAATAAGAATTTTACGGATTAAATAAAAATTGCTACCAAACATATTTTCTAAAGCATTAAACTAGGCTCGTAGCTAATACTTCAGAAAATGTTTACAAGTTACAATTTAATTTAAAATGAGCATGGACTTAATGAATATGTTCTCACATACGAAACATTATACCATCAAAGAATACACAGATATGTTCAAAAATAAATTGTGCACAAATTATACAATCATTTTGTGAAATCTAATATTACAAACATTTTAATGAACGTTTTAAAAAATAATATGAAATGATAAAAATTCAATAAAATTATTGGCACCAACATAAATGCTTCTCTTTGATCACTTTTCTTGTAAGTTATATGTTATTTAACCAAAATTGAGTAGAAACGTGATATTACATGGAAAACCGTAAATGAAAAATAAGTTACAAATTTGCTACTTTTTACTCGATAAATTTAAAATTATATTTTGTAATTTTGCAAAATCGTAATTTTTTTTTATCCGAAACACGATGTATTTTTAATTTGTAAAAAGAAGTTTAAGTTTATTAATTCTTATACTTCGACCGATATTTCTCACAGCTTTGTTTCTTAAGTTAATTTTGTAATTCTTGACACTTGATATCAAAGATGCAATCGGACAAATAAAAATGTATCTTATTTAATATAATATACAAAAATCTACGAAATGAATTTTTAATCATATACAAAAAATTCACTGCATTTATAATTTAGTAATTTAAATTAAGATTAAATCGGTTAATATAATACAATAGAATACAATACAATACAAAAAAAAATCTTTTTATATATTATATTGCAAATTCTTTTTAATTATCAGACTAATAATCTTTCGATTTTCAGTAAAAATTTGATTTCTAATTTTGATTTAATGAATCTTTTCAATAGTATCAAGTAAATATATTGTTTCCTTTCTTTAGATTACTTTTTTCGTGTCACTTGAACTACATATTCAAAATATTAATTTTTTACAAATCACCCTAACATGAGAAATTTTAATGTTTAATCGCGTAAAACGTTACTTAAACCTGGAACGTTGTGCATTTCTTCGAGATCAAATTGCATTAATTAATAAAGTTCTAAAATATTCTTTTTTTAACAAGCTAAACATGGGAATACTTATTACAGATCCGTAAAACGTAATGATATGAATGCGATGATGATTTAGAATAGAACAACTTATTCACGATCTATTACTATTTCGTACAAGTATCTTCTCGCTATCTTTGTCAAAATATTGCAACACTTCGTTACAGTAAAATATGTATGTATAATAAAACGCAATTTGAAAATTTGCAACAATGTTAACTAAGCATTAATATCAACAAAACATAATTATAATTCTCATTAATTTTTTTTAATAATTACCAAATTACTAATTTATTAAAAATCAATAAATCAATTCATTAAATCAATTTTTAAAATTTAAAACCATTTTCCTAATTTATTTCGTGACATTTTATATAGAATTGTGTAATTGTTAAAATAATGAAATTACGTGTCGAAGTTTGCCGCAACAATTAATATACATTTCGAATAAAATATGATTCGAAATTTATAATAATACAAAGATATCGAACGTCATATTGCATTATATTCTTAATTATGGATCTATCAAGAAGCATCGTCGATAGCGAAAATTCCGCATAGTAATTTTTCGCCTTTTTAAATCCAGATGGCGCTTTAATACATGATTATGAAAGTAGCGATGTTCGCTAGAGCTCTGACAATAAGATTCTTCGCTAATGGATCGTTCAAACGTAATGCCATCGTCAAACAGGAAGCCATGGGAAAAGAACGGTTTCATTGTCCGATGTTATTTGTCCCCGTTCTTGCTTCTGAGGAACATAATGTATCATCTATGCATCCAGAATCTACATTCACACGTTTTCAACTCGCACAATGGTGGTGGGGGTGATGCTATATGGATGGTGATGGATTAAGTCTTGTGCATTGTTGACGATATACGACAACGTCTTTCTATGTATTCGTCGTTGAACACCGTTCACGAAGTAGCTCGTAGCTTTTCCAACGCGGGCACCAATGGTTCCTCGATAGAAGGTCCGCAACTCAGTCCACATTCACCAATCCATCTTGCTTTACCACTGGCATGGGACTGTAAAAAAAAAAAAATAGTAGTTTTTGACTTGTTTGAATGATTTATTCTATTATACATTAAATATTCATAAAGTATTTATAAAAAATAAAATTATTTTTTAAATTATAATAAAATGATGTATTATATTTTTTTACAATTGTATTAATTTTAAAATAATAATATCAACTACTGTATTTTATTATCCTTGATCACATAGAAATAGTTATATATAATTTGTACCTTTCATTTTATTTTTAAATTTATTTTATTATATTATTTTTAAATCTATAAATTCTTAAAAAAAAACATAATATTAGTAAATGTAATATTTATCTTTTGTTATATTTTTTACACACCATTCTTTAATCTTCAATCATTGATTAAAAAAGAAACGGAATTATTAAAACTCTATTATTATAAGTTGGCATTAAATTCAGCCTTTATCGACTGCTTCGCACGACCAACTTATTACAGCTTATCGCGAACAAAGCAGTCGTGATGTGACCTTCGCGTTAACATGGGCTATTGTAAATGCCATTCGTGAAATCGATAAGAGCAATTGTCAGTTTTACGTCTAATATCAAACATTAAAATTGATTTTTCTTTATATACTCTTTTGTTTATTTTCTTCTACCCAACAATTTAATTATAATCTGAAATTAATTAAAAATATTACATTTTATAAATGTGTTCAAATTAAAGATATTTAAAGATTTAAATTAAAAATAAATTTCTTTATTTTTTTTTAACACTTTCTGAAACATTTTTTTATTGTTTTTTTCTTCACGATCATGAATGTTCGTGTTTATTCGGGAAACAAATGGATAAAAATAACGAATCAATTGAGACTCTTTTTCGAAAATGTTTATAGAATACACAATGGGTCAAGGAGGAAAAAAAAATAGATCAAAAATAGATTCTTACCATAGTAAGGTCGCGTTTCCACGAGGTGCGGCAACGTCCGTCACAAAGTGGGCACGGTCGTTGAAGGGAATAACCACCACATTCACTACAATCGAGTGAGACGTGTTCTTCGCTCCACGAAACTCCGCATCTGTAAACACAAGAAATATATTTTTTGAGAATTAATGCGTGACATTAATTTTTTAATATTTAATAAAAAAAATAAAATATTCATTATAATAAAAATAAAATGACTATGTAATAGTAAAAAAAGTAAACTGATCATACAACAAAAGAAGTGCCTTAATACTTTGTTTTTATAATTATAAAATCATAAACTGGAATTAATTATAAATCCAATAGGTTATGAAAATGTTCCAAGTTCAACCATTGCCCTATAACTATAACATTTTTAATAAATAAATTTAGTAATCATAAAACTCCTGCGATCTTCCTAATTTAATTTTTCAGAAATTATTCTAATCTTCTAAAATATAAAAAATTATTATCTCAGTAACCAAATTATACCATTCTTTTATGTGAAACTTTAGTGTGAAAAATTAAGGTTAAAACCCGTGTAAACAAAAAATTTTAAAGAAGCACGATAATTTTAAAAATAACGCGATTTAAAAATAATCGTCAGGAAAGGAATTATCAATCGAATTTCAACCGAATCTATTATTTTGAATCATTCGAGTCGTAATGACGTAACATTTTATTGAAACAATGGAATCCAGGAATTGAAAGATTTAAGCTGGATTTTTCCAACGCAGTCGATACGATGTCTAATATTAAGACAAAGGCATGTGTCGAGACAAACTCCTAACGTCTAAAACAAATTCAATCATTGCAACTTGGGATCATATCGGATTCTATTATCGATCTATTGTCGGCTTGACGTCGAGATAAGAGTTCAACTTCACTATACAGTCATAGAATTCTCGAGATTCTTATTTGTCTCGATATGTATGTACATGGCTTTTTCAAGTGGGACGATAGTAATTGTGCATACAGGACGATCGTGAAGCGATTAGAAGTCAATAGCCCAAGGAGAGCGCATAATTACCGACCTATATTAAAAATGATGCGAAGAAAGAACCGGTTAAGTTAATCGTTTCTGGTAACTTCTACTACTATTTACTTGCTATTAATCACAGCAAATGAAGAAAACAAATGTTCAATTCTAAATGTTTGCGTGACACGTGCATTAAATGTAACCTTATTTTCCAGAATTCAAATTGTTTTTTAAAAATTTGAGGTTAGGTTACTTTTTTCTTTTTGCTATAATTAAAATTCATTTTTAATCATCGTGTTAACTTACGTGAAACAAGAATTCAATTGAGCACGAAGTTCCTCAATAGTAAGGATCGTATCCTGATACTGAGGATGAGATCCTTGGAGGCCATCGTCAACGCTTCCGCACGAACTGTGGCAGGACAAAGAAATGTTGCTTCTGCAAAACGATAAAAAGGATCGATAAGTATTCGTGTTAGTTTGTGAAAAAATTTTCTACATCGTTTTAACCGTGTAATTATATAATATTTATTCCTTATGTTATCGTCATTTACAATATTCCAAGAAACAACTTTTATTTTGATACGTAAAAATGTTACGTAACATAGGACGATATTTCGAAGAAAGATTGAAATCATTGTTTTTTTTCCAAAGAATTGGATAGAAGAAGAAGAATTATGAAATTTAAATTAATTTTTATACTATAAAGACAAAGATTAAAGACAGATCTTTTCCATTTTAATTCTATTCTGTTCTTCAAATTCAAAAATACAAGATATTACTACGGAAGTCAAAAGTAAGCAATCATTACTTAATTCGATAAAATTAATTTTTTTAACAAAATTTTGAAAAATAGTATCATAAGATTCGTGTAAATATAAATGGAATTTTTCGACAAGAAATTTTATCAAAAATTCTTTGATCGAGTGATTGTAAACGAGTCAGATTTCTTTAAAGTCAAGATGATTCGAATATATCAAAAAGTTAACCTCGAAGATTTTTGTACATTCAATCGATTTCTTTTTTTACCGATCTTTACAAATTCATTGCTGCTCACATCAGTAATTATAAAATTAAAATTTACGTAAACAGATATATCAATTTCGTCGTTTCCACCAATTTAATAATAATCGATCAAAAAGATATATACACACATGTATATATGTGTAATATAAATGATTAAATTTGTAATTTATTTAATTCTTTTGCCCAAAGATTTAACATTTTATCAAAATAAAAAATGTGTTCATAGAATTTTAGAGAAGTTACTCGAATACTTATGAAAAGAGAGGAAAAAAGGCTCTCAAATAATTGAGATAATTGGTTCGTATATCGATCGATAACGATCGAGCAAAAGTACTAATGGAAGCAAATTCTTCCATTCACTTATCACGTTTCGTTTAAATCGTGATCGATAGAATCGATACTCGCGTGATATTTCTACTGAATATTCGAGAAAATGGAAAACTGGTGCGACAGAGAAACAGGAAGGAGAATAATGTAGGTACGAATGCATATATGTGTATGCATAAAATGTATGCAGCATGGAAATCAGAAAGAAAAACGTTCCTTTCACGTGATGCTAACGTGAACGAGCACGTAATAAATGTATTCGTATGAGTTATGTGCATGTGTGAAAGAATGACGCGCAAAAATCTTGGAATTAGTAAATCTCTGCTGTCTTTTTTTTACCATTCGTAATATTCATTAATACTTGAGATGATTTGCTAAGAAATCTATGGAAAGGGAACAAGAGAGAAAAGAGGTTATGTTTGTGTATATTATCGGTCACGTTATAGGAACAATCCGTTTCCATATAGGTTAGGATTGTCTAAATTGTCACATGACGAATATGTGAGTACCACTTATATCAAATTATAGTCGATTAAAGATAAGTGAATTTAATTTACACCGTAAAATTGTGTAAATGACCGCTCTTATTTAATAAAAAATGTAATTACACCATAAAAATGATAAAACGATAAAATATGAATTCTATTATTATGCCTATATACTTTTCTTAGGATATTTTCTTTTATAGGTTATTGAAATACTTGTATAATAATATATACTTTTATCAAAATTTATGAATTGTAAAATAATAATAATCAATAAGATTAATCGATAAGAATAGAACTTTTAACTGTATTAAAAATTCAATATTATGATGTGCAATAAAAATATATTTATATATGTTTTATGTTTTAGAAATCATAATTCTTTTTAATTTATTCGAAAATAATTTTCCTCCCTATAAAATCTCTTCTTTCTATAAAATTCATGAACGCTTATTATTATTGTATATTCTTTCACAACTTTATTGAAGATAAATTTTACTTTATTAACCATATTTGATAAAATTAAAAGCTTTACAGAAGAGAAAATTTAGAAATTTAAATTCAATTTATCCATCTATTTCTTCGCTCAATTCACTTCATTCAATTTTCGAAGAATCTCCTATATACTATTAATATACCAATAATATTTATCATCGATATTATTTTTTTAATTATTTTTTTCTTTTGTCTCTCTAATTTTTTTTATTTACATTCCATGCAATTTATATTTATCTATTAATAAACATATGCCTCTCACACATTATTTTAATTTCATTATTATCATTTTTACTTCATAAATTCCTCCTTTTTCCCTCTTCCCCTCTGATTATCATCATCAATAATTTATCTACTGATCTTTGACGTAAATTTTAAATTTTTCTTGTTTTTCTCACTTGTAGGATAACTTAAAAGTAAATTATGCAAAACTGTTCAACGGTTTGTCTTTTGCACATGACACGTGGTAACAAATTTGTGCGCATTATTAAACAAGAAAAAAAACATAACCGCGTAGGTTGAAGGATACACCTCTTTCTCTCTTTTGTCCAGCAATTTCGAGAATTTCCGGCACGCGTTAAGTATTAATTAACTGCGATGATGAAGTTAAACGATGCATTGTGAAATTCTTCGTACAATACAAGTATTGTATCGTGTAAATATAAATGGAATTTTTAACCACGAAGCTGAAATATTTGAGAAATCAATATTATAATAAATTTGTAAAATATATAATAATAATAATAATAACAATTGAACAACTCACAGAAATAACTTTGTTTCAAATTTTCTTTCCATATTTTTGCATTACACATTTATGTTACTTCAACACGTTGCCTTTTCATGTCTTTGATGCCATTTCTGAACATCCGTCTCGTCGTTAACTTGGAATAATGCAACTATCTCACAAGAATTAATGTTAGGATAATGTTGATTAAATAAAAGATTGATACGAAATGGAACGATGAAAATCGAGGAAAATCGTGAACATAAGAGAAATTTACTAATATAGAGGAAAACTTCTGAGAATTCTTAAAAATAAGATAAGTTCGATTCAGGGATATAAACTATGTCTACTTTTAGATTTACTAGAAATAAGTTTCCACCAATGATTTACATGAAACTGTGCAACATCTCCTCTTTAAATAGAACTGGACGGAACAATGATATTGATTTAAATCTGACAATATTTTTTAAATGTTTCCTCTTCTTTTTCTTTGTCCTTCGTGATTTTTCAATGGCGTAATAAGTACAGGCGCCATACTGCAGCCACGTGCCTGAATTATGTAAAATAAATTCTACGAATAATGCATTTAAAAATAATTCCACAAATTTAGATTAATTTTTTTTTTTTTTTTTACTTTAAATGCAGAATATTTATTTCAAGTGATTTAACATCATGCTCCTGCTGTTTCTCGAATTACTGAAAAATTTTATTCAAGCAATTCGAAAAAAATAGATTGAATGAATCAAATTCCATCAAATTTAAATTGAAGATCCTGTGAAAATGTCATAGAAAAATATATGAAAATCGTGTATTTTCGTGCTTTATGAATCGCTGAAAGATGATCATCCGTAGATAAAACAGAAAAAAAAAAAAATGATTCGCGAAATTTTTAATGATCTTTTTTCAAAGTCGGACACAATCACATGTTCCGCGCAAAAATGTTTTCAAAATATTGAAAAATTGGGAAACAACTCACCCATGGCGAGAAAGACTCTCAGTAGCTGGTTGCACGGTTGTAGTCACAGACATGTTGTTTTGACGAGTTAAAACTGCAATAAAATGGATAACAGTATTAATAAGCGAATAATCGAAGGACGCTTGTTATTGCGCCTAGTGTTTTATAATTGTTATCGTTAATCGATAGATTGTACTCGTTAAAAAAAAAAAAATTCCCCTATATAACAGCAAGAGGAAGTTATATTATAGAGGAAGGAATCTAAAATCTTACTATTGAAGAGATGCTTACAAAAAAAATCCTTGAAAGACTTTTACCAAGAATTCATTTTTATTTGCTTCTCGTCTGTACTAATCCAAGGTCTAACTTATCATAAGAGTTTAAAGAAGTCTTAGAGTAATTAATTGTATCGTTAAAAGCCTTAAAGAAAATTGATGTACAATAAACAATATTTGATTATAAAAAAAAAAAAATACAATGATTTTTTATGCGCTATAAAATCGATTCAGCAATTGAAATTTTCAAAATAATATTTACTACTTCTGCAATAAAACTTGGATGATATGTGCAGGATCGATAAATCGATATTGATGAGAATCACGAAGTATAATCATTGAAATTAAATAAAATAAGGAGGCTAATTGTACAATAAAAATGATAGAAAATTAAAATGAAAAATCTACACGTTCCTACTTATTTTTTAATAAACGAAAGAATTATTAAAATCGGCGAACAAATTGCAGCGTGTAAACAGCGAAGGACACATCCGCGATAAGTTTCACCTTAGATAGCCTCACCTTGGCACAGAACAGACATTTACTTTCCCCCCGGTGAAACGAAAGCCAACTGATACACACCGCACATGCGCTCTGAATTCTTTATTTCGACCAATCCGAGTTTTCTTCGACGTAACACATTGTATAATCCGTTCTATGACCGTTTCTTTGTCTTTTTTACACGATGAAAACAATTAACGATGAAAATGAAATAAAATAAACGTAATTCAATCGCATTTGACCAACAAAATTTAGATCTCGCAAATTGAAAATATCGCGAAGAGTAATAAGTTTTATCGTATCGTTTTTCTTCCTTTTTCGATTTACCGACACACGGTATATACACGGTGTTTCGTATTGAAAATCATTTTGCACGATAAAAAATTGAATCGAGCAACGTTACAAATAGTACGACAATAAAACGAGATTCGAAATATCGATACAGGGTCGAACGGGGGAATGTCAAGGATTTTATTATTGACACATTGGCAATTCATACCTGATTTTATTATCGACCGTCCACGTAGAAAAGCCTTGATGTATTCTTAGAAAAGCAAATCAAGGTGAGAAAATTGGTGTCTCGATAATGAATTTACACAAACGATTTTTATTTAACGCACAAACAAAAGAGAGAGAAAACGTTGTTTAATTGCAGTACGTATGCGGAAGAAACGCGCCTCGTCTATGGATCGAAACGATTAACAAGCTCGACTTAAAATACATTTTCGATTTCGATTCGATCAGTTTAAAATTGGCGCTTAAAAATTGTACACACGTTGCACGCATTATGGCGACTATGAATTTTGGAATGATTATAGCTGAATCATCGAAATCAGACCTCGAACGAATTAATTGCCGAGCGATAAATCATTGGACAATTGCTAATTATATCGTGACGAAATTTTAACGCTTTTGTCCGTAAATCTTTTCAAAATCGGTATTGAACGGTTCAACGAAGCAATGATCACGTGAATCACAAAGGAATTACGAAGGGAATAAAATAATTATTCTGGCCATTCTATATCTAAACAATGTGTCGAGGGGGTTTACGTTTTCCTTAACTTTATTACGTTAGAGGTTCCAGAGAATTCCATTGTTTATTCCGATGTTATAAAAGATTGTTGTTATTTAGTAGCGTATTCAAACGAGTCATTTCTAGTTACGCGCAATTGTCAGATGATCCATTTGCTCGTCGATTACCATGTAATTTAACATAAGATTTCCTTTGGTGAATTTTTTTTTTTATTTTTTTTTACTTAAAGTACTCGAAGTACTTGAAAAGTTGACGTCGCGCTTAAAATACTTTATCGTACGATGGAATTTAAAATCGGTATATATTCGCAAGTTTCGAAGAAACTTGTTCGAGAGAAGCTAAACTCGTTTAATTACCATATCAATTTAATTAATTCAGTAACAAGTATATTGGTTATCTTCACCTATCAATCGTATAAAATATGTTATACACGTATTAAATGCGCATTAAATGCAAATTTAATTAATTAGGAGAAAAAGGAAAATGTAATATCGCCAAGAAAAATATTTTTTTTTTTTCAAAAAAATACGATTGATCGTATTGCTATTAATAGACGTGGATTAAAGATCGATTTTGTGCACGAGTGTCCAATTATATATATATATATACAAAATATTCGTAGAAAAAAAGATTTTACGATTCGCAGACACGATGGAATCGTGGTCGAAAAAAAAAAAAAAAGAAAAAATGTGTCACCTTCACCTGGAAGGAGAGAAAAACAGAGAGAAATAAAAATACGTAACGCGTAATTTTCCAACTCGTTCGATAGGCCTGTACCAACGTATTTTATTTCACAATACGTCTGTAATACGCTTAATAACGAGGAACGTCGCGTTGTAAAAAAACCGATAAATATTTTTCTTTGACGTCATCATTGTTTGCAATAGTAAGCTTTCTTATTGAATTCGCGTGACGAATACGTGCACTGATTCACTGAAATGTTTTTACATTCTTAACTTTCAATCGCGTACACGATCGATGTTATATCTACCTTTAAAAGAACATCATGATGGGATTATATGTGATCGTTATATATAATATAGTTTCTTTTATAAAACCATTATTTTTTTTTATTTATAAAAAAAAATATATATATATATATGATAATAAATTATAAATTGTAAAATGACTACAGTGTGTAGAATGACTGGACAAAAAAATCGATATCGTGTAAATTAAGAAAAAAAAAAAAAAAAAAAAGAAAAGGCAAGAAAAAGAAGAATCGAAAGAAATAGAATTCGTATTTGCATAACTAAACTAAACACAAGCGCAATCGCAATAAACTTGAAAATAAATGCACAGTTTTCTCATTATCGCAAAAGGCATAATTTTCTTTAATATTCACGCGTATATATTTTTCGCGACCAATGAACCCAAAGTTAATTCATTATTTAATATTTATTAGATAGATGCATTTATAAAATACAGATAAGTAATTACGTTTTTCATGAATATGTATTACGATATCGTACATATAATGAATATTTTTTTGTTATTTTATCATTATATAAAATTAAAATTTTTTTTATTTATATCGATTTACGATTGTATCGATATTCTTATTATTCAAATATTTTTTATTCCTTTATAAAATTTTGTACACTTTTAATAGATTTTAAAAGATTGTTATCTTTCAAAAAAAAAAAATCATGATGATTATAGATATTTTGACTGTGTTGGACAAGCGTGGACTAAAAAATAAAAGGATAATGGAAAAAGAGCAAAGAAATTGCTAATAAAGGATATTCTCACGTGTCTCGGAGCTATCCATTTCTAAAAGCATTAGTACAGTCGTAAAAATAAGCGAATCTAAAAATATACAAGTTATTTTTAATTTAAACTCCAAAGTAGAAAACGTAGAAGAGCATCGTTCTATAGTCATGTCACATTTTAACTAAACATAGAACATCTGAATCAATTCAACGATTCCATTTGTACACATTAAACATTATGATTGTAATAATATTATCCAATTTTTATATTTACACGCTTTAATTTTTACGATTTAAGAAAGGTATTCAATATATTCTAGCATTTTTAAAATTATTCGAATATCTCTCACAGACTAATCAACTGGTTTAACTCTCAAAATATTCAAGAACTTTGACCAAAAAGTTGATCGCCCTTCCGTTATTTTCGACCAACATTGGCAAATTCACGAGATAACGAGTATCTACTGCGCAGGTAGTTTTTGTTCACTCGATATCTTATAATCCTCATAAGTTCTGATACGCTTTCAATTTAATCCAAAAATTTATCGATTTTCGATACTTCGTTGTTCGATTAGAGCACAGAAAAATTTCACCGTGGTTGAAACTTTCAATGAAACGTGAACATGACGTTACAAAGCCACAAGGTGACGTATAGAAGACTTGAACAATTACGCTAAGAAAGTATTGACGTAGTAATTCTATTATTTACAACATAATACAGAGGACGTAATAACGTAATACAGAGGATTCCTTCTATCTAAATAAATTATAGATACTGTACCTAAACTGTACATATAGAATATTTAAGTATCGATTATTTTATCGAATGAGAGAGAGTTTTTCATATTACATTTAAAAATATAGTTTATATTGTTATTTATAATTTTATTCTAAATGAATATTGAAGTAAAAAAAACATTGACTAGAGTGAAAATCCGATTATTTTACAACATTTTTTTATTCTTTTCACGTGACAAGCCTCTAAGATTAACCTCAAGATGCTTTCGCCTCTTTCAAGCCGTTAGTTTACGAAGAAAACGGGTTCGGGAACTGGCAAGCATCCCGAGGCGGTTAGTAGTCGAGGTATCTTTTCGTGCGATTACGATCTTTATGTTCTATTCGTATACCAGAATAGAAGAGCCTTAAGAAAAAGGTGTGCAAATATAGGATATTATGTGGCTCATAAGTGGTCTGAAGTCACTGACTATATTCGAATTCTCGAATATTCCTCGGAAATTAAAATTTTATTTAATTTTATTTAATTTTATTTTATCCCTCACGTTATTTCAAGTTTTATTATGTGAATTAAGTTTTATTATATGAATTTTACGTTTAAATATAAATGAAAAAAAAAATGATTTCAAGTTTTCAAGTTTAATATTAAGAAGTTTTTATAGATACGATTCAATAGTATAAAACGTTCAATATAACGATTTATTTGATTAAATTGAATTTAATATTTATACTTTATCGTATTTTGTTATGATATATTTCATTTGATAAACGTTTATTTAATTTTTTTTATGTAATTTTTGTTTAGAAGACAAAAGAATATATTTATATTGTACGATCC